AAATATATATTAAAAAAAAAAAAAAAAAAAGATCGTGCTATCGTGAAAACATGTTAAGTGGGCACGTGTTAAATGAGGAATTACTATACTACATAGTTCTGATTAACTGCAGTTAAACTGCTTGAATAGAAGTAATTTTACCAGGTGTCCTTTATTCAACATAGGTGACCATATCTCCCTACTAGGGATGTTAGATGTAGTGTAAATGAATAGTTGTGTGACCACATCAAATGTTAGTGGTTACATGACTATCCAATAGCCCCCAGGGGAAGAAACAGCAGCCAGTGGGCTCTCAGCCCCACTCCTAAGGAGCCCTCTGCCACCCCGCACTGCTGTCCCTATATCAGATACAGAGGCAGTACTGCAGGCAGCAGCAGCCTGTCTGTGGGGCGACCACAGGAGCGACCAAGCTCCCCGTGAACAGAGGCTGTTCCACGGCAGCAGTCCCTGTCCATAGGCAGGTCAATGCTGCTCCACTGCAACCTCCTCTGCTCCTGACCGCTGCTTCTGATAGCAGCACAGGGAGGGGGGAGAGACAGGCAGCTCTGGTCTTGAAAGTCAGTTCCTCAGATGTATCAGCTCCATCTGCCCCCCCTCACCCTCCATGCTGCTGCCTCTCTATTAGAGGCAGCAGTGCAGGGTGGAGGGGGTGGACAGGCAGATCTGGTGTTCGTGAGGAGGCAGATTAAAAGCCTGCTCCCCAAGGGCACCGGCTCCTGCCTCCTCCGCCCCTTGCTGCCTCTAATACAGAGGTAGAAAGGGCAGGGTGATGCATGTAGTCAACAAGATTAACCGATAAGCATCTACATGTCGTGTAGTCATCTACATGTTGACATTCCTCTTCCCCTCAGAGTGCAGACTGGATACTGAACTATACAGAAAACCACCCCTCCAAGTAATCTACAGAACAGAATTCTTGTATGCTTAAATACATTGGTGGCTCACAAAAACAGAACCGACAGGCACAGTAAAACGATCTGGATATAGGTTTTTGAGAAACAAGACAGTAATGGGGCTGAGAATTTATTTTCAGATAATCTGAAAATACATGTTAATTATACACTACCATTTTATTATTGAGTGCTCACTGTGTTAATGTGGCAATTGCCTAGTGCAAGATAGATGCCTTGGATGTTTACCTTTAGGAGAGCATCAGTTTGGGGTAGGGAGTCCACATTTGGTGATCTAATGCTGCATGAGATGATGACTATGCATCAAATACTGCAGGAGTGTGTAATCCAAAGTGTCATGCGTGGTCTTGGAATCCCTCGCTGATTTTCCTGACAATGCTAGTCACACTGACAGTACACATATACATTCCACATCCATCATGTTAAAAATAATAGTAAGACAAAAATGTTTAGACTCTTACCAAAGCAGGAATTGACAAAGCCATACCACATACAACCATACTCCCCTCCAATCCATCTACCGTGGATGTTGGATACAAAACTGAGTGTGGTGCCAGAGATGCACACAAGCATATCACTGGCACTGATGTTCAGCAGTAGCATGTTCACAGGGTTGCGCAGGGCTTTAAACTTGCAGAAGAGTATGAGAACAATCAAATTATTCAAGAAGCCAAAAACCAAGATAAATCCAAGAAAAACAGCCACTATGGTGTGCCCTGTTCTAGAGAGTCCAGTTCTTGACTCATGAGGATCTGCAGCTGCTTCAAAGCTCAGGTTGGCTGTCCAGTTGGTACTCATTTCTGACATCATAGCAGACCAGAGAACGCAGAAAAATTAAATGTTTTACTCCCAGATCTTCGAGCTACTTTACAAAAGTAGGCCTCCATCACAATGCAAATAAGCACTAGATTACTGTGGTCTTCAGTCAGTCAACTAACTGCTTCTTGACCATTAACTAGAATAGAAAATAGTGTCTCACTGTAGAAAAGCTTATTGCATTGCTTATTCTTGTAATCATTTGTGTATGAAACTCTGTATGCTGAATAACAGAAGAGACTGAAAGCCTCCAGGGCACCTTCATTATTTAAAAGTTGGGTTATCTGAGATAATTACTTTTAGGCCACAGGTAGAAGGCATCTTATAAAGCTGCCTGAAAAAGGTTCTTCTTCAGAGCAAAGCCTAGTAATGGCATTCATTCCCAGTGTCACAAATAACGTCTTCCTGGCACAAATATCCTGCACACATGGAAAGAAAACAAGTATTACACCCAATACAAAAAAAAAAAACTACAACAATAGACTATATTGTCTTTTTTAACAAAAGTTCTTCTTGCCAAAGCTCAGTCTTTTATCTGTATAAAATGAGTTAATTGACGTCTTTGAGCGCCTTTTGTACTTATGAAAGCTATTTCAGAAGGTTTCTCTGTAGCCAGCAGTTTATGATGCAGAAGACCAGGTAAGCGCTTCGTAAGTCAAGCACTAGCACGAGGAAATGGTTAGTAAAGAACATGGTTTTAAGTTAGTTTTCCAGTGCAATACTGTGTCACTTGCGGTGTGTGTATAGCTCCCCAAACTGTAAAACGGGGGTGGGGAAACCTTTTGTTGAGGGACATCAAGCCATAGGAGGGGAAAAAAAAAAAAAAATCAGTCAGGGGCCACACGCTAATCAGAAGCAAAAAAGAAAAACAATACTGATCTGGCCCCAACTGGAAAAAAAAAAATCTCTCAGATATGGCCCCCTACGGAGAAGCTTCTCCACCTTAAAGCCTCGGGAAGTGGTGGGAAAGCGGAGGCCTGGGGGCTGCATGCAGCCAATCAGGCTTCTAAGTGTGGCCTGCAAGACATTTTGTTTTCCTACCGGAAATATTAAAGTGAAACGCACGTGAACCAAGAGATATGCTGATTGCACACAACATTGACTTGTGTGCACTCCATTTGCATCCAATCAAAGAGCTGCTAAGGTTAAAGCGGCATGCCCCGCACATTTTAGGTACACATGCACAGTTAGCAAAACCACCCTATCCAGGGAAAACATCTTGGTTTCAAAAGCTTCAGATGGGTAGCCAAGTTAGTCTGTAACTGGAAAAATTAAAAAAAAAATAGCCATTCATCTGAAGAACTAGGTTTGTACCCACGAAAGCTCATAGCACCATCTACATGTTTTGTTAGTCTTAAAGGTGCTGCACGACTATTTGTTGTTTAAGTTTTTCCATCTTGGTTACAACAGCCCCCAGAGCCTCAATACCCGCACACAGCCTCCAGACCATGGGGGGGGGGGGCAGCATTAGAGGTTGGGGACAGCCCCCAGAGTCTAGTCCCCTCCAGACAACCTGCAGGACAAGGGGGGGGGGTGAAGGCTGGGGGCAGGCCATGGAGCTGGCCAGCCCCACCCCCTCAAGCACACCTCCAAACAGTCTGCATGACGGAGGGGGCCACTGGAGGCTGGAGATAGCCCCCAAAGACCAGCCTGCAGTGCTCAGCCCCACCCCAACAGGCTACAAGATGGGGGGGGCACTGCCTCATACAAGGCCCCCCTCTCCTGGAGCAACTGCAGGTCAGGGGGCAGCAGCAGGCCAAGGGTGGTGGCTGGGAACCCAGCCCGGACCACTATGTGAAGCACAGCCTCAGTTGGCGTGGCAGGCAGTGGGTCTGGAAGAGCAGGGAATGCAGCCCTAACCAGGGCTGGTGGCAGTGGGACTGGTGCAGTGGGGAACACAGCCCTGACCAGAGCCAGGAGCAGATCTCAGTGGCCAGAGCTGGGACCGGAGCAGCACCAATAGCAGTTGGGAGCCTTGACCTCCTCTGGTCTGACAAACTCACTGGTTCGGGACCCGTCAGGTCCTAAGGGTGCCAGACCAGGGGGGTCCAACCTGTAGAAGTAACTTTAAAGCAATAGCAGGGAAGCATGCAGGGACAAAATGCAAATGAAAACAAAGAAAAAAAATAGGTGTATTACATTAAGCAATCCTTGGACACCAGTGTCTTGAAAAAGAAGTAACAGCTAATTTAGAACCCATCCTTTTGTATGCATAATTGGGATTATGTTTTCCAACTTGCATTACTTTGCATTTATCAACCCTGAATTTTATCTGCCATTTTGTTGCCCAGTTACCTAGTTTTATGAGATCTCTTTGTGACTCTTCACAATATGCTTTGGATTTGACTATCCTGAAGAATTTTGTTTAGCCTGCAAACCGCACCATCTCACTGTTTGCTTCTTTTTTCAGGTAGGGTATGTTTTTGCCATCACTGTCTAGTGCCACAGACTTCTCATGTACTGTATACTACAGTAATACTTAGCTCGTATGGGAAAACACAAAGCAGTTATCACAAAGCAGTTATCTATCTATTGTTAAAAACCACACACATCGGGGATGTGTGCTAATACTTAGCCTAGTTTGTATTTATTTTGGCTGTAAAGTCTGCTTAAATTTCCAAGAGGACATAAAGATACCTAGTGGGGAAAGAAGCTTCAGGCGGTAGCCAAGTTAGTCTAAACAGGAAAAAACAAGTGCTACCAGACCATTTGTTTACAGACTAACAAAACATGTAGATAGTTCTGTGCTAGACAAGAGTAGGTCCCATATTAAAAACACAAATACCATAGCCTGTATTTCTTTATAAATTTAGCTAAACCACATGCCAAATGATAATGTTAAGAAAGCCTCTGGACTTCATTTAAATTGAGATCCTAAATTGGATTTATCTGGTTAATAGTTTAATATTATCATATAACTAAGTGATATGAATATCCCAGGTGCTCAGTTCTACTGTGAGATGTTCCAGGACTCTCAGTACCTACTTCACCATGATGTGGGATTGAGCCCTAGATCAGTATGATTTTTCACCTCTTCTGATTAGCAAATTCTTAATTGAACAGTCAACCCGACTTTTTTTTTTTTTAATATTACATCTCTAAGTGGCTTTACAACAATTAAAAAAATATCATTAGTAAATGAATCGCATGGCATTCGTCAGACCCTATTAGCTTGCTTTGGGGTGGGAAGGAAAACACTGGAAATAATCTGAAACAGCTTTTGACTTTAAAGTTATTGAACTTACTAGCATAAGGGACTTCTGTTTATATTTTTGAAATTATATTTTTTTATTTCCAGTCGAGGGATTCATAATGTGCATTATCTTGCAAAGCTGTAAACTATACCAGCAAAGGGTCCTCAATTCACCCCCAAGCTTACTTGTTGATAAAATTGTTTTAAAAAAACCCACAATGAGATGTCCAAAACCTCTTGCCAAAAACAAACAAACAAAAAAGCAGCCACCCTGCTGGTACACATCAGAGTGGTATAACAAACTGTAGCTTGTTGGGGTATAGCCCTGAACCTGATTTAAAGTTTCACAGTAAATGCAGTGGTTCGTTTAAAAAAAATGAACTTAAATACATTTATCTAGCATAAAAGTGTACTGAAAATGTAATGTTTAAAACTGTTTTGATATTGCAAAGTAGGTCTTATAGCTGAAAGTTTTTTAAAGATGCAAACAACTAATTAGTGGATTTTATGATGGATTAATGAGCATCCACCTTTTAGTCAACAATTTAAGGTACTTTTTTTTTTTACTATATTAAAACTCAAATACAAGCATGATCATCTCTTACCTTTTTAGCTTATATATAGCAAACTAAATTCATGCATTTGAGTTCTCCACATACAAAAGGGGAAGACTCAAAAGAATCCCTCTTGAACACTACTCAGACCGAGAATTTATGGGAATCTCAAAGTACAACCCAGGCTACACAAGGATGGTGGAGCCTTGTACATGCCTGAAGCACAGGAAAGATGACACAGGAAAGATTCAATTCAGGTGTTTGGAAGTAATCCAAATACAGAACGCAAGACAAATTTTTGTAGCACTCACAGATGTCCCCAAAACTCTGAACATCAGACTACTTGTTCAGATACTTAACTTTGGAAACCCACGTTTGAAAACTGCATCCTCTCTTTATATTAGTGTATCAAAACAAACTAAAACCTATAGCCTCCCTCATTTAGAGGAAAACATCATAGTTGTGAAGGGGGCAAGGAATTTTTTTAACTATTAAACAAAGGAGAGGAAGGATTTATAAGAAAACTCCAAGCTACCTTTGTGGTGGGACACTTTTAAAAAAATCTTAAAAATTAAACTCACACACCACAGCTCTTTGCTATTCAAGAAGGAAAAGCAAGTAATTACAATTGAACTTACAACTGCCACTTAGACAATACATAAGATCAATACGGAGCAAAAGTGACAAAGAGGTGCCATTTTGGGGACTTGGGGAGTCACTCTGGGATGCTATTTTAGGCTTTATCAGCGGCAGTATGGCATTTTTTCAACTGATGAATACACAGATTCTTCATGAAGAACCTTAAAACTGGCCAAGCATTTAAACTGCCTCACATCTGTCAGCAGAATACACATATGTACGGCCAAATAAATGAAATACAATGCTGGCCAGACCTTTGTGTGTGACTTAACCGGATTTCTTAACATTTTTATAGCTTTTTTCCAGATAATTTTAATCTGGCATGGAAAACAATACATCTACATCTGTGCACCAGTCAGGATTAAAAAAAAAAAAGTAGTATCCCCAGCACTGTGATTCTTAGCTCAGCTGTGGAGAAGATGTAATCTCCTGCAATTCAGTGGAGGCAGCAGGAGGAATTAGAAAACAATCATGTCTGAATGTTGCATGCCAGTTAGGACAAGGTGGAAGAAAGTTTAAGTAATAAACTAACACTGGGAAATGCCCAGTGCATGTCACCACCAGCCAGGGCCACCGCATCTCAGACTGTCTTGTAACCAGCTGTCCTGTGGCACCTTAGGGACTAGCCAATATACAGACACATGAGCTTGGGTGGACAAAACTTCAGTGGGTTGTTCCCACTAAGGCTCCTGGCGGGACAGCTGTTTTGGTTAGTCTCTAAGGTGCGGCAGGAGGGCTGGCTGGCTTTAAAGTTACAGACTAACAGTGCTGCCCCTCTGAGACGTAACAAAACACAGGACTAGGGATCACTTTAAAGACTAACAAGATGGTTTTTGTTTCAGCTAAACTAGACTAACAGGCTACATCGCTATTACCTCCGAGATGTGTTTCTCTTGCTGACAGCATGCGGCAGAGGGGCAGGCTGCTCCGGGCTGTTTCAAGCCCCTCCGCGCTGGGATCTGGGGGTCTCCCTCCCAAGGCTCAGCCAAGCCGGCTACTTACTTGCCGAGGTGCTGGGGGCCGCTCTGTCCCGCCCGGGCTGGGGAAGGCAAAGGCGGCAGCGCCCATCCTGCGGCTTCCGCGGCGCAGCTGCCAGCCCGGCTCCCGCCC